ATTGAAAATAATTTAATTGAAAGATTGTGGTCCAACAAACATCATATCCACACATCAATGGACCGAGGGCCACCGGCGGCAGTAGCAGCAGCAGCGGCAATAAAACGAATGAGAAATGCCATTTTAATTTTCATAATAAAACTAATTGAATTCAAACCCCAAACAAAAGCTACAGCACTCCATCTGCATAGGAGAAGAGTAACAGGCATTTGGAAAATACTAAATTTCCACAGAGACACATTTTAGTTTCACAAAAAGACCCCGACACGATTGTGTAGTTCGGTCGAGCGAGCGAGCAAGCGGTCAGCCACCATATGATTGTGTTTTTCCATTAAAAGGATTTTTGTGCAAAAATTTGGGCCTCACCAATACACCATGATGATGTTGTAGTAGTAGTACAGGCTGCCATCAAAAGGTGCTTAATGCAGCCACGCATTCATACACTCCATGTGTATGGGGCGGCAGTATCAGCCGCACCACCTTGCGCACATACATATCCTTCACCCCCTCCTCTCTTTGGGTACTAAAACAATTCATATCGAGAAAGTACAATGAAGTAGAGGTAGAGCTTGTTTTGGTGGCAACAATTAGCGTAATTTGAATTGTGTTAAAAATTTTATGAAATTACCCAACAGAAATGGTAAATGTTTGCTGCAGATGTTTTAGCTGGCACAGTGGAACGAAAGTAGAATTTTTAGCACACATTCACAATTTGGGATAAAGTTTCAGAAGAAATCAGCTATCCTCCAAAACAATTTTTAAGTTCCGTAATATGGGGTCTATACTTATATCTAAAATTGTGTCAATCTAATTCGAACATTTTTTCCGAGGGGTCTGATATCCTATTTTTTGAAGAGATTTTCTATTGTTTATCCAGAAAAATTTCCAAGTAATCTGCACTACTCGTCATCAAAGAGTCTTTTTTCTTTCTCCCTTTTTTGACGAGATTTTTTGCCGTTCATTCCGAAAAGTTTCCGAGTCCTCTGCACATACTCTTTGTTGTGTATTTTTTTTATTTTATTTGTATTATTTAGATGCGGCGTTGGAATATGCTCCTGGAACTATTTGAAGTACCATAGAAACAAACATCAAACGATTTTCGGACAAATCATCCGACAATATTAGATTTTTTCCGATAACCTTCCGAATTCCGAAAAAATAGTCAATTTTTTCCAATTATCGGATAAAAATATCGAATTTCATCCGAGAAGTTTCAGAATTTCGGATCAAACATCCGACACCCTTCCGTATCCGACACCTTTTCGTATCAATTATTCTATATTTCTCCGATTTTCGAATGATTTTCAGATAAAACTATAGAAAAAAATCAGTTTTTTCCGAATTTCGGATCGTATATCGAAAATTTTCCGAATTTCGTATCAAACATACAAAAACGTTTTTCCGAATTTTTCTTTTTTCTTTTGCAAATTCTAATTGAATTCGTCACGAAACTCTAATCTTCTTCAGATATTGTTCCAAAAAAAAAACTTTCAGAATCTTGGGCAATCTCACACAATTTTATTCCGAGGAGTTCGTTTGGAATTCGACATTAGAATCGGAAACTTGTACGAAAACTGAAAAAATTGTTGGCTCCGGTCGTCTGTATGAAAACTATGCGTATGAGTTATATATAAAATCACTCATACGTTAAGAAAGTGATGTACTGAACTATGAACTAGATTGACACAACTCCACTTATAACGGTACTATTCCTAAGCATGGACCGATATTCTCCAAAACCCCACATTGAGAAAGTTTCGTTGGGAAATGGTTCTAAATTCATTCAAATGCCAAATATCGGGGTGTAGCGTTCTATGCAAGCTATACGAAAACCTGAACTTGTACAGACAACTTTCTCCCTGGGAAGATGGGATCTATTTCAAGCTCCAAATGCGAAAATTTCCCTTGAAAAAATGTGTCTGAAATCATCTAAATACAGAATTTCGAAATTTAGTATATACAACAAATCAGACCTGAATGGAAAGTTCTTCTATATGCTGGGAACATCAAAAATACGTTTAATCGGGTTGTAATATCCAGGATGTATACTATAACAAATCGAGGACCCATATGTCCCATTTTCAATAGCAAAAATTCTACATTTTGAATAAAATGTTGTCCGTCCAAATCCTTCGTTCCGTTCAGAAGCAGCAAATGGACGGACGGACCATGGCTTAATCGATATAAGACAAGGTCCATTATTTTATGATCGCAAGTGCAAGGGTCCCCCTCCTGATATTCTAGATTTTAAACACACGACTGCTTGAGTAAAACAAAATGCTACGCCAAAGTTTTCGCGTATACTTCGCAAAAACGCAACATTTGAGGGTGCCCTTGTTCGTAGTGGGGGTATAAGATGGTAAAAATTCAAAAATTGGCTAGACGGACGGACGGACCAGAAATGAAGATATGTTCCCGCGTGTTCTATGCCGTTGATTGTTGTTTTGCCATTGTAGCACACTAATACCATTGATATTTCAATCACTTAACACAACACCAGTTAGCAGTAGTAACAACAACAAAAACAGTGCTACAATATTCCAGGATTTGTGTTGGTGTCAGCACTTCTACATTCCACCCACCCGCATTTCCGCCCAATAAAAGTCCTTTACACCAGAGATGACAATGCAAAAAAAAATACACACACACACACACACACAAAGCCACGCTTTTAACGTATTTACCAACGATTCTAGGGATTTTGTTGTTGTAGTCGCGGTAGCCGTTGTTGCATTACTTTTGGCGTTGATTGTTTGTAATTTTGTCTAATTGCTTCGGTAAGAAAAACTCATTGCCCCCCACCGATGCAAACGAAAAACAAAACTCAAAAGCATGTGGACAACTTCTTTTTTTTTTTGTTGAATTTCATGTTCAGTTGTGGCCGGCGAATTGAAGAGCGAAAAAAGCAATAGAAACAATCTCAACAGCTTCTACGACAATTACAGACCAACCATTCATTGCCACTCGCAGATCAAAAGGAATTGTTAAATATACAATAACAATTTCATTTTAATTGATATTTTGTCGCACAACAAAAAAAAGAAAAAAACAACAACAAATACAACAAATCAAAGCTTTTTTGGCTGGCTAATTGATAAACCAGTGCAACTTTGAAGTTTTTGATTGATACGCAACAATTTGAGAATTAAACAGAGAGCCAGGGGTGCGATGATAATGGGGAAATAAATGCTCGAAATAATGGAGTACACCAAATACCAAAAAATCGAATCGTTTAACTGCAAACTTTCTAATTTTCCCAATGCATATTTGTATTTTTGTACAAACTTGCATTTTTTTAATTACTTCAGAAACACAACAATCTCTTTGATAATTTTTATTAAATTTAATTGTCTGCCCTGCCCTTCCATCCAACTCCACCGCCAATAATCATCGTCGACATTATTTATTGTGACACACAATTATCAAATCAAAGTTACAATACCGACAATTCCCCCAAGGAGAGAATATCCTTGTTTTTTATTTCTTTTGTTGCAAAAACAAACGCGACAAACATACAAAGCCATCAAACACAGAGCCACACAAACAAACAACAAAAATCCAAAAGGGAAAATTTAATGTTTTAATAATAATATTTTTTATAATCATTTCAAAAGGAGTCAGTTGTTATCTCTGACAGCCACAAGAAAAACTCCCAACACCCACCAACCGCCCACACTCACTCACTCGTCAGAGAAGGTAAACAAAAAACACACACACAGACAACCACCACAACAATAACTCATAAATTGGGGCTATTTGTTGAGCATAGAATTGCCATTTTACTGAGAATAACAGACAATGTAATCGAAAGAGAGAGAGAAATAACAGGAGAGTACATTGTATGGGGCATTCGTATACAGGTGATGGCGGTTGTATATGGAGTGGTATGAATGCAGCAAACACGTGCACGTGCTTTCTCATTTGTAAACATGTGGAGGCACAGCAGAAAGAGAGAAGAGAACAATATCCATATAGTAGTTGCTAATAGGAATGTAAGAGAAATTAAAATCGTTTTAAAAGGGAAAAATACAATTTTTATCATATTTATTCGAATATTTCTGTCTAAATTAAAGTTTTTAGGGTCTACTTTTTCTGTCGCACTGCAGGAAAATAAATTCTAAGTAAATCGATTAATTAAAGCCGTGGGAAACAAGTAAAATCGATTAACATTAGGTCTGTTTGACAACTCGATCATTTTTATGGAGTAAATCTTGGGGAAAGACCTACATAAGGTTGGTAAGTAAGCCCATCTTATAACTAAGTTTGCTATCAAAGGACATATTATGATTAGAAATTCAAAGAGATTCAAATAAGAATATTGCAAAATCTACTAAATTTCTTCTTGGCCGACCTTATAGAGGCCTTCAGTTTCGTAATTAAAATTTGAAAACACTTTCATTTACTGATCTTTGAGTCATCCTACTATATCTCGTAACAATTTGTATAAATTATGACAAATATTGGACTATCCTATAATCTTTTCACAAAAAATATATGTTGAAATAAATGACAAGAATAACTCTAACGATATACCAAAAAAAAAATTACTCAATTGGAAACGACAGACCAAAAAAAAAAATTCCATTGGAAAAAATGTCTTAAAAATCTACCAGATATCTTCAGTCTTCCACACCATTCTTATGGCGTTTTATTTATAAAGCACTGTGCACGTTAACAGTAGCACAAGCAAAACACTTCCATCCCTGGGTGATATGTTGACAAAAGAGCAATCAAATCGACTTCTCTTTTGAAATCGACAAAAAGAGAATGAAAGAGAGCAATTGACTCCCTTTTTTAAGCCAATTGTCGTCGTCCTTTTTACAATTAGCTATGCACATTACAACCGCCAAAACCAAAGGAATAAAACACACACACACACACTCTCAAACACAAGTGAAATACGCAAAATAAGTGAATTGAATTGAACTGCAAGAACGTCCTGTGACATGTGTATAAATAGGCAGGTTAAATGATGGACGGTTAACAGTTTTAAACGAATTATCAACGCGACAGGACACAGAGAGCGGCCAATAAAAAAACGAACGAACAAAATTCAATTAAAAGCATTTTAATAAATCGAATGAATACATATCACAATAAACTTTTATCAATGAATTAAAATACAAAAAAAATGTTTACAAATTGGCTAACTGGCACAACGGGTAGTTCCTCCTCCGCCTCATCGATAACGTCGTCCTCCGCCGGTACAATAACAAATCGTTTACATGAAACGCCGGTTCAAACACCGAATGGATTATCATTGGCCGCCAGTGGTTTAAGTAGTGCAACTCTAAATCCAAATATGCTAACAACGCCGCCCGATGTTATTCTGGAAGTGGGGCCCGGACCCACAACTATGCGTTTCATGGCCCACAGCATAATGCTGGGCATGCATAGCGGTTATTTACGCTCCGCAATACGGTTAGATGAACGTAGCGCTGGTGCTGCACACTCTCAACACGGTGGAGATTTCGTAGTGTATTTAAGCAATGTTACACCGGAACAATTTGCCCCGCTCTTATCCTACATGTACACCGGATATTTGGATTTAAATGTGGAAAATATCTTTGGTGTCTTGTTGGCTACACATGTCCTGCACATGCCAAGAGCCTTGGAAATTTGTAGGTGGGTTGGACAATGATTCACACCAATAGTTAATGAAATTAAACGGGACAAAATGACATGATCGGCAATAGTGAATTTCATTAAAAGAGAAAAATTACAGGCGACCTCCTAATTAAAAACATGTATTTTATAAATATTTCAGATCCTATTTGGCCCGTGCCCAGGCTGAGGGCTATTTTGGCAATAGTAACACGACTCTGTCAAATCCGCTCAACAATACAGCCACCAGTCTTGCTAGCCAACAAGCGCCGAAAATTATTAGACCAATTGCGAGTAAACCACAATTGGCCAATTTTGGATTTTTACCAATAGGACATACAATGCCCGTAACACCCTCATTAAACTGTCGCACCTCGACAATAACGTCAGGCTGCAGCAACAATGCCTCGGCGGTCTCCGCCACAATATCGACACCTATGGGTAAAATTCTCGAAATGGAAACAAACAACAAAGACGACGAAGGCGGTGACATTGAAGTTGATGAATTAGATCGACAATCAATGACGTCCAAGGGACGTAACTATGCCCCCCCTTCGGCAATTGTCACAAACAATGCTCCTCCCACTCACGAGGAGGACGATGAGGATGTGGAAGTTTTTATCGACACAACTTCGGAAGACGCTGATGTAGTTGTTGAATGTGATATACAACAAAAAATATCCTTCAAAAATCAGAATCATAAAACTGCAAATACTGGCAAGGAGTCGGCGGCAGCGGCGGCCTCCTCACATCACTCCAGCTCGCATGGACACAATAGGAGACATGATAAAACACACAAGAAATCATCACACAGCAGATCAGATAAACGTCGAAAGTCTGGCAACAATAATTCGTTGTCCTCGACGGGCCTGCAAGTGGCCAAGGCTCCCATACCAGCCTCACAACTGGATACGTCAGAGGCCAATAAGGTGATTATTGATGTGGCCAGTTGTGATGGCCCGGTGCGTTTCAAACGTATACTCAACACAGCCTACGGCCATAAACCAGAAACATGTTCAGCTGCAGCTGCAGTAGGCTCTGCTAATCACCATCACATGAATGTGACACCCGGCCAAGAACGTTCCCTACAAAGCGTTTCCTTGTCCTTTCATCAACAAATGGCAAAAACCATTAGCCAACAGCAACACCTCAACAATGCCGAAGAATCCGAGAATAGTGAGACATCAAATGGCAGTATTGGTACAGGGAACAATGGGGGTGGGGGTGGTGTTGCTGGCGCTCCGAAACTTGGCCGTAAAATACAAAATGAAATTTTCGTTTGTGTCTACTGTAAACACACATTCAAATCACAATACTGTTATCAGAAACATGCTAAGCGCCATCTAAATCCATTAACCTTACAAGCTACTTGTGTTCCCCCGCCTGAAAAAAGGACCATCAACGATGAGAGCAGTTCGACAATGACCACAACAGCAGTGGCATCATCATCTTCATCGCTTATGGCCACAACGGAACAACAATCATCATCAAATTTACAAAAAATACGACCATTTGTGTTGAGGAATTCCGGAATGAGTGGACAGCAATCAGGCGGCGGCAGTAGTACTAGCGCTGACTTTTTAAGACGCGAAGTTCGTCCCTTGGATATGAATGTACAATATTATCCGTGCAAGACGTGTGGCTGTAAATTTCCCAGTTACTATTTTGTACACAAACATCGTAAAATGTGTCATGCCGAGGAGGAGGCAGCTGCTGCGGCAGCGGTCCAGCAAAATGTCAATGGCAATAATGGTGGTGCTGGTACTGGTACTAGTACATCATCATTGGAAGAATCTGCCCAGACAGCTAATGAGGACGACAATCATCACATGGATGAAGAGGCGAAGGAGAAAAACTAAACTTTACAAGACGAGATCAATTGACGTCTTTAATTGGAAAAAAGAAAAAATTGAAAAAAGAAAGTAAAATGACAAAGAAAAAAATTAAAACACACACACATATCGAGCTTTAGCATTAAATGTCAAAACAAAACAAAGGAAAAGGATATCTATTTCTATGAAACGCACGAATTTAGTTAAAATAGCTATAATAAAATATAATTTATTTCAAAGAACAATTAAACGTAAACGTTTATTTGTAAAAAAATTATCTAATAAATTGAAAATATTTAATTCGGGTTATTTTAAAATTAATAACAATATATGAAGTTTATTAATTAATAAAGATAGGTTAACACTTTTACGTCAGAAAGTAAAATATTTTAAATGTTCATAGTTCATTCCTTTCAAAAAAAATTAAATGTAAAAAGAAAAACACTGATCGTCTGAAAGGAACCCCTAAACTAGAAATGTTCACCTTATTTTCTTAAACAAAGCTTTTGAAGAATTATAATCACTTATTTATACGGTAATGTGCCAAATGATAGAAAGTTCAAAAAAAAGTTTTTTTTTCTTTTAAATATCAAAATTTTTCCCAAAATTTCTAAACTCTATATCAAAGGTTTCATCATGGCTTACATAAAAATTATGTCTAAGTTATGTCAAAATTCAAAGCAACTGCTATAATGATTCTCCGAAACCTTTTCTCACAAGAGGGGCATATGAACACTAAACCAAGACTACAATATTTCCAAATGTTTTTATGCATATGAAACTACGATTGAAATTCTAAAAAAGAATTCTCAAAATCCTCATAGCAAAGCAAAATTACCGAGGGAAGCCTAGACGGGCAACACCAACAAATTTTACGAAATATTTAATTTTTTTGCATTTCTTTGGTTGTTTTTGAAATTAAAAGCTTCTCAGCAAAATGCAATGCTCCTTGGAAATGGCTAAAGAAGCATTTGTTGAAATATTTTTAGATAATATTTGAAGTTCCGGTAAAGGCTTTCCTTTGAATCCCATTTTCCGACTTAAAAACTATTAAAACAAATATATTTTTAGTCATTTTTTAAATATTTAGATTTGCATTTTGCAAAATTTAAAAAAACCTACATTCAATGTCTTTAAGGCAAATTAGGAATTTGGTTATGATTTATAGAAGAGAATCCCTCTTTCATGGTTACAGGGTGAAATGAAAAAACTGCAACCAGGTTCAGACTGCTGTCATTTCTAAGCCACTCGTCCGACAGCTGTTAAAATTATTTCAGTTTGTAATTATTTCATATTTGTGTCTCGTACCATCGTTCGTTACCGTGATACTGGTAGCGTAGCCCGACTTCAAGGAAGTGGACGGAAGAAAACAGCAACATCAGCAGAAATGGTTCGAAAAGTAAAGAAACATACTGCAATATTCCATTCGCCAACTATTGAAAAATGAACTCGGGGTAAAGCCAGTGGAATTCCAAAACGTGCAAGAACAGAAAGAAAATAGACTCAAAAGAGCTAAAGAGTTGCTTCGCTTGGCCGAAAGTGGTGAACTGCCGAATTTGGTTTTCTCCGCTCCGATGAGAAAACATTCATTGTCCAGCAGTTTATAAACAAACAAAATGATCGTGTTTACTTGCCAAAGAGGTCAGCTGAAAATGTGCACCTTCAGGACTCAAGCACCGGCCATGGTGATGGTGTGTGGGCTGCCATAACAGCCGATGGTCGCTCTCCGCTCGTATTAATCGACCGTAGCATCAGAATAAGTGCCGAATATTATGGCGAAAATATTCTGGAGGGTGTATTAAAGCCTTGGGCAAGCAAACATTTTGGCCGCAGACCTTGGACATTACAACAGGACTCAGTGCCATCGCACTCAACACGCCACACCCAAGAATGGTTATAAAATAAGGTTCCTTGCTTCATTTCCAGCGCACAATGGCCACCAAAATCTCCGGATACGAATCCGTTGGACTATTGTGTCTGGAGTATTTTGGCATTTAATAATACCAAAGTGTCGATCACCTCAAGCAAGCGCTTCGGCGGGAATGGGCCAAAAAACCGCAGAGCAACATCCGGGCAACGTGTGACGATTTCATTGGCCGTTTAAAGGCCATAATTCGTGCCAAAGGTGACCAATTCGAACAAATCTAAATTTATTCTAAAATTTGATGCTATTTCCGACATTTTTTGCTTTTTTGCTTTTCAATAAAATTTAAAAAAAATGTAAAAATTACGGCGTTCGACTTTGATTCGGTTTTTTATCTCACCCTGCATATGTGGACTGCAGTGATAGTATAATTGATTCAGAACTGATTCTGGGTTCAAATTATCATAACATTTCTATGGTGTTATTAGAACTGATAAAATTCCCTTTGTAGAACTCAAAGTTACACTTATATCAGACTGAAACATCAATACCCATTTTTACCCAAAGGACAAACATGTACACATTCTAGGAATATTAATTCCAGTTTAAGACTTTGATTAAAAAAATCATATGACTCTCCACGTCAATAATTAAATATGGCAATCTATCTTCGCCGGCATGTATACACTATATATACACTTGTGTAATTATGTGATATAACTTTAATTATGATATAAAAATGCTGTGTAATGCGCTGACCAGAGTTACAAAAAAAATCTATGCAATTTAATTAATCAAAAAATAATAACAATGATTTAATCGAATATGCATATTAAATTAATTAAATTCCCCTTAAACACAACAAAATAATAAACCATTCGGAGGAGGAGAAGGGAGGTGGGGGAGCAAAAGTTGACACACTACAACAAACAATGTCCAGCAGCACAACAAACAATCATCGGCATTAATGTGATAAGTAAATTTAATAAAAGTTACTTTTAACAATGCATGCAATCAAACAACCTCACGCCCTCCCACCCCCATCCAACCATTCGCCCATATCAGGCTCAAAACTATATTCTATTGGCCTTTAATGTTTCCCCTCCCTTAATATAATGTTAAGTGTTTATTTTTCATAAATTAAAATATTAAAAAAAATCAAAACAACAGCAGTTCCATACATGATAACTACCCACCTACGGACCAACCAACCAACCGACCGACCGCCTCTTCTCAATTCCACAGGGATCCAAAAAAGGGTACACATACTCGCAAAAAAGTGTAAAAAATAACATCAACTAAATGACAGCCATCTACCGGACGGGCGGCACACACACAACACCAGGCGTTTAACACAAAAAAAATTTAATTTAATTGAGTTTAATTAACTCACTGGGGAGACAAATGAACGGACGGTAGAAAATGTGCAACAAAATAAAAAGGAACTCAAAATCAAATTTCAAATCCAAATAAAAAAAAGAAAAACACAAAAACTCAAATCAACGCAATGCAGCAAATGGTGGGGTAGTAACGATGTTGTTGTTGTTCTTGCTGGAGCCAGTGGCAGCAAATGGAAGCACACAATTCCCCTTTTTCACGCTGCCAATAATTTAACCATAAACGAAAACATTTTAAATAACAACAACAACAACAACAAAACAAAAGAAAACGCACACTCGACAAAAAAACAAAACAAAAAAGCATTGGCAAACCAACCAGGAGAACCAAATATGAAGCATAGCTTAAAGGGGTAGTAGCATGGATAGATTGGGTGAAAACACTGGCTGGGGATAGAATGGCAATGTGGCAGGGCATATTTTTGTGATGATTGTTTTTTACCAGCCATCAATTATTTATTGAGACATTCAAAAGATGACAGCATAACGGCACAGAGCCCAACATTGCAACCAACCAACCGAGCGAGTGAGCGACCATCATCTCATCACAGCTCCGAGGGGGACTTTTGATTTCTTTTTTTTTTTATTTCTCGTATATATTTTGGTAAATGTATAAATTACATTAAATATAAATCGTTGGTTGCATACATTCATTCATTCACTCACTCACTGGCGTTTACAATCAAAGGTATATAAATGTGGGTGGGTGTGTGTGGTGCATACCCTTTTCAGTTACTACACCCTTTGCCTTCTTTGCCCTCTTTAGTGCTCCCAAAAAATATGCACTGCTATTTAATTTTTAAAGTAAAACACGAGGGCCGTTGTCGCCACTGCTGTTGTCTTGTTGGACCATCTCTCTTTCACTCTCTGGTTGGCTTGGTTTGTCGTGGCCATCAGCAGCCGCCCGAGCAAAAGCACTGGCCCCCGCCGCTCACTAAGGGCCAACACAAATGTAAGCAAAAGAGATCTCTTGCATAATTTAAGGCATTTTAACGTGCATTCTGTTTTGACTCCTTTTTTTTAATGAAATTTTCATTTATTAAGATAATTGCCTCGCTTCGCGTTTGGTCTCACTCGTTGTTTCCACCCACTCCCCACCCCCACCCCTCGTCGTTTCCCTGCTCTCTACAAACAATTTTATTGGGGTTTAAGTGTTTCCGCATGATGAATTTGCCAAGAGGGCATCATTTAAAATAAAGCAGATTTCTGAGTGATTTAAATAGAGAATAAAAGCGAAATAATAAATAGAAATGCGACAGCAAATAGCTGCGAATGAATATTGATGACGTGGGAAGATATTAGGTAATATCGGAACCTTGGAGGTTTTTCACCACAAAAGTTGAAAATATACATATATTTATATGAAGAGAAGCCTGAGTTAGGGGAGTGGCTCCTTTGTTGTGTCCAGGACATAGTTATACAATCGGGAATAAAATGGCTGATGAATTAGCTCGCAGTGGTGATGAGGCTGTCAAATAACTGATAAGCTATTATGTCAGTAGCTTTAAGAAGCCTCGGTACGGACGGTAGGCATTTTAACTGGCCACTGCAGCATCAGATATCTGATTTCAAAATGGATAACAGTGGCCCTGACTATTGTGAGACTTTGTGGGAATGAATAGCCTATTACTAGCCTTTCACCCTACTCAACTTAAAACCCTTAAGTCTTTTTGTAGAGGATCGTTGTTAGTTTGTAAAATAGTTGCCAGACTTAGTTTCTGTGATTTAGTATTTGTAGTGTTTAGTTTTAGTGTAGTTTAGTTTAGATACTTTAATTCTTTTTAATTGTTAAACCGGCTGATGCTCTAATGTAGCCGGTTTCCCAAGTCTACTAACCCCCTTGTAATCCGGACTATGGGGTGTACGTTATGAGGAGGTGGCCCTCTCGGTCAGCAGAGGCGGGAAAGTGAAGCGTTGGGAACGATCGAGAAAAAAAGGTGCACCCTACGACTCAATGAACGGGGTCAATGGCGGAGGCAGTACTTTGGACAATCTATCATTCTTAAGTAAGTGAAGAGTATAGGAGGTCGGGCTATAACCACTGATTATATATCACCCCGGCAAAGTTTCGAATCAGTGGACATCCATATACCAAACAGGGACATCTGGTCCTGGAACACACCACCTTTTAACGGTATAGCTGTCTATACCGATGGTTCAAAGATGAAGAGCTGGAGCTGGAGTCTTCTGTGAAAGCTTGAATATCCGGAGATCCTTTAAATTAAACAACGACTGCAGCGTATTTTTTCAGGCAGAAATCTTTGCTATCAGAAAAGCAATGGAGCTGTTGGAAAATAGAATCAATAGACCGGTGAGGATATAGGCCGATAGCCAGGCGTCCTTGAAGGCTCTTAATTCTGTTACAATCAAATCTATGGCTGTTCTGGAATGCAGAAATGCTCTGGAAAAGTTTAAGACGTCTGTCGTCAAACCTTGTTGGGATCAGATCAATTGGCCAGAGGCGGATCTGAGTCAGTAGATCTAGAGATGGATAGATCAGTGAAGCCACCAATGTGTCATTTCTTCCAAGTATTACATAAGCACTACCTTGGGAGATTTAATCAGAACTGGAAAGGGTTCTAATATCTCCAAAAAAATATGGCCTGGAATGAATGTCACTCATCTCCTTGACGAAATCTGACATAAAGCTTATGGAAGGCGTAATTACAGGACGCTATAACAGAAGGTCCATGACTTCAAAGTGAATGCTGCAGGCTCTGTCAGTACGTGGAGGAAAACGAGACGGTGGAGCACTCACTCTGCCAACTCTTTATGGAGTCAGACAGAGGCTACTGGGTATGCAAATCTACCCATCTTGTCTTCTTTTTCTGAAACCGAGCCAGCAGTCATGCTTCAATTAGCCAGAAGATTTAAATGGCTAAAGGCAACACGCTGATCACAACGTGGACACACTTTCATGCTCCTCGCTTCTTCATCTATTTCTTCTAAACATTTCCTTCTGCTCTATTTTCTTATGTTACCCTCATTCTACATTGAACTTCTTCTCTAAATAGGATGAACACAATTTACGGAGTGCAGTGGTATTGTTTTAAACAACCACGAATCCTTTAACCTAACCTATTATTATTCTTAGGATAACCACAATGGACCAAAGGGTTCGAAATGAAGCAGCTGGCGAATCATATGTAGCTGCGCATTCTTAAATCAAACCAAATCAACAGCAACGCAATGAAGATTGAACGAGGGTTTTAATGAACTGAGCTGAGGGAGATGAGAACACAGCTGAATGTGTCGAGGGAAATATTATTTCGACCACGAACCTACCACCTACTACCGACCACGACCCTAAGATCCTAGGAGTCACATTCGACAGCATGTTTAAGATCTGCGAGAAATTAAAAAGTAAACCCAAATACGAATGCAGGTGCTACGCAGTGGAAGAATATCCAAACCTGACAGAATGCTGCCCTGAGAACTGCAACAGGGTGCATCCTCATACACCAGTTGACCATCTACACTAGGAACCGAAAGTCCATCGTGTGCGGTTTTGGTAGTAGTTATTAGTGGTCTAAAATGATATTTTCCTCAAAACAAATGAAAGATTCAATTTACATTGTTTTAACGAACCGCCTCCCAAGTGATTCGATTGTTATGTCTCCGTATATAAGTATAAGTCTCCGTCAAATATAACAGATTTCCATTTGCATGTTCGTCGTACATGGAGATCATAACAATGAACTTACCTTTGCCATCGATGACATTCACATCGCCGCCCACCAATGATATTGTGGTCGTTACACCGCCAGCATTCGATAATGATGATAATGCATTGGTTGTATTGTTGTTGTTGCTATTTGCGGTGGAGGAATTTGAGGTTGCGACGGAATGTGTCAACGCTGCACCACCGTGGATTGGAGTCGTAAGATTTGACGATTTGGTTGATGAGGCTGCAGCTGCTGCCTGCGCTGCCGTACCTAATAGATTAACGGTATGACATGCAGGCCCGGAACCCAAGGCGATATCATTTGCATTGTTGTTTTTATTGGCATTGCTATTGTTATTGGCAGGATTGCTACTTGTTGCTGCTGTATTACTAGCATTAGACAGAGGTTGCTGTTGTTGTTGCTGATTAATGATGATTGAGGTGTTGGTGGTGGTAGCATTGTTTTGTGTTTTGGATAAACTTGTTGCAGAAGAACCGTCCAAGTCCAGACGCTTCTTTTTGGGATCACTGCAAGAACAAACAAAGAAAAAAAAACAAACATGATCAACCGAAATGAAACATCTAAAAGTGACATCTCCAACTTACCTAACATCTGAGTTGCAGTCATTGTTTGTTGATGCGGCACTTGCAGCACCAGCACCCATAAGACTTTCGACCTGTGCTACTTTTAGCTTTTGGCCCAAGAAATTGCCAGCCGTTGTTGAGGTAGTCGGTGTAGTAACATTATTGGATGTACTTGTTTTATTGCTGGTGGCGACGGCGGCAACGCTTGCAGCATCCATTGGCGTTCCGGCTGCGGCATTTTTACCATTACTGCTGCTGCCCGTGGATAGTTTGTCATTGCCAGTTGTGGACGATGACGCCGGTTTGTCTTCGTTGTTGATACCTGTCGTCGCTACAACTGCTGTTCCTGTTGCTGTTGTGGAAGATGGTACAGTTGGTGCCAAAATTGGGGTAGCTGTAGCACTTGGAGCTGCCATTGCAACAGCATAACAAGTTTTGATGCCATTGGGCGTTGATAAGGGCGGATGATTTGAATTTGTATTTGTTGTAACAACAGTCGTCGAAGATGACGTCGATACTTGCGGGTTGCTGGTGGTAGTGGTGGGAACTGACCCACTATCCTCGAGCTTCTTGGGTACAGCAGAAATCTGATCACCACCAGACGTCGTTATCGAGGACGCCGCTGTATCCACGGTTTTCTTGTCCTCTTTTGCTAGGACTCCACCTGTCGTCTCTGATGCTTTTGTATCTTCCACATTGCCTTCAGCAGACGTTTCCGCAGATGCTGCTTTCGTTTTAGCTGCAGTTCCAGTGGATGCCATCGTTTCGGTCGTCCCGGCTTCGCTTGATGGTTTGTCTGTTGAAGTCGTCGTCGTTGCCGTTTTGTTGCCACCCGGCGTCGAACTTGAACTCGAACCTTTGTTCTTCGTTCTCACCGAGGTTGATGCGCTGGTGGTTGTGTCCGCCGCATCTATGCCTTGGGAGACTGTTTCAACATTAGATGTTGTCTCGTTCTTGGCAGCTGCAGCAGAAGCTGCTGCCTTGGCTGCGGCTTTGGCCGCCTCTGCTGCTGCTTTCTCAGCTGCTTTTTCTCGTTCAGCCCTCTCGCGCTCTCTTTCTGCAGCAGCTGACCGCCCACCGGTCTTCTGCTGCTGTTCTCTCTGCAATCTCGTTGTAACACCTGTCGTCAGCGAATCTATGATGCACTGAGTCTGTTGCTGTTGTGTCTTCTGCAGCGTCTTTGAGGCTCTGGTTCTCTGTCGCGATTTCCGCAACAGCTGCTTGTAATTCTCGGTCTTTTTGCTGAGGTAGTAGTAACGGACACAGTCCTGGGCCGATTTTCGGTCCAGGCTGGCTGCTATCGCCCCAAAGTTTTTGGGGTGTTGCAGAAATTTCTCTTTGAAAATCTCCTTCTCACCGGTTGTCCAGACATTCAAGGCGCCTCGCTCCTTGTGCACAGCCACCATGTCTTCGACGAGACCATTCTCATTGTGATAGACAAATTTGCGCTGATGAGCATCATACATAATCGGTGGTATAATGGCGTACGACCTCATCTTCTTCACTTCCATAGCCTGCTCTTGCAGGCCGTCCATAATTTCTTCGTAGTCTGCTTCGGATTTAATGCGCGAACCGACACGATTGAATCGTTCCTTGTCCTCGCGCTGCTTGCGCAATTCCGTAAAGACTTTTTCGAAAAATTCCCGATTTTTAGCTTCTCGAGCTTTGCGCTTGGCGCTCGCTTCCGATTTGTCTACACGCTTCTGCCACTCGGCAGACATTTGGGCATATGTGTCCACCAGCTTGGTGCGGTGTACATGGCGATCGTGCTTTATTTTGCGTATGTACTCCAGCAGTGGGGCTTTTATTGTGGTCTGATGGCGTTGCAGCAGAGTCGTCAGATGTTCTACATCTAAGGGCTGGTTGTACAACGGTAACAGGTTGCGTTCGCCACAGTTGTCGAGTATGGAATGTTGTGCGGCGGCCGTTTTACGGTTCGCCATGTAGATTTTTTGGGCCAATGTTTGGGTACGCCACGAATTGGCGGCATCGTCTTCGACATCGGCCAAAGCTTTTTTCCTTGCCGCCTCGGCCTTCTCCTGTATCTGTTTGGCTGCGGCCAGTAAGCTCTTCTCCTTCTTCCGCAGTGATTCCAAGGAGCTATCGGCCCCGGTGATCTCTGTGTCCACCTTTTGGATTTGCATCAATAGATCTTCTTTGGCAGTGCGTCCTCTATCCTCGGCATTGTCGGCTGGCAGCGTAGGTGATATCGCCTCCACTTGGGGATGATAAGCTTCCGTCGAAGATGACGTAAGGGGAGCGGTATTTGTCGTTGCACTTGTGCTGGCGCTTGCAGCAGCTGGTAATGATGGTGAGGTTGAAAAGTTTGATGTAGGACCAGAAGCAGCCGCAGATGTAGCGGACGATGATGTCTTACTTCCCAATGTTGTGGTGGAATTTGTTATTACATTCAATGCTGTATTTATCGCCAGCGAAGTTGGTGTTCCCCTATTCATTGGAGGTGTGGGCACTGTCGCAGGAGGAGGCAGTTGTTGTGTCTCCACTTTCAGTTGTTGCATTGTTAACGCTGAGGGTGGGGCAGGCACAGGCGCTTGAGGTTGGAGTGGAGGTTGTTGCTGTTGATGCTGCTGCTGTTGTTGTTGAGAAGGTACCTGCTGTGGAGGTTGCGGGGTTAGGTGAGTCGGCGGCAATACCGATAAATGCGTGTGTGGAGGCAGCGATGGATGGCCAACGTGGTCAGTAGAAGTGGATCGCATTGCGTTCGCAGCAACTGCAGCACTCTGAGCTGCTAACAGAGCTGCTGACAGACCCACTGCCGGTGACGGTTGACGCTGTTGTGGCAGCGGAGGTTGCTGTTGTGTATGCTGGTGTTGCTGCTGCTGATGTTGTTGTTGACTAGGCGGAGGTGGTTGCTGTTGTTGTTGTTGGACATTCTGTACTTGATGTGTTGTAGGTGGCAGGTGATTTGAAGAATTAGTAATGCTTTTTGTAACATCACTCAGTCTCAGCTTCTTGTAGGGCTGTTGTCCGCCCGGGTCTGGTGGAGGAGCCTGAGGCTGTCCACCGTGCCCTCGATTGGCCGTCATGGCGTTGGCATTGGCGGCAGCTACTGCAGCTGCAGTACCCAGAAGATAATCAGCATTGGAATATTGTGGTTGCTGGCGATGAAGAGTGGACAAGACCATGCGTTTGCCACCGCCAGTCATTATGCTGCCCCCACTACCACTCACCGGCGGCGGAGGTTGCTGCAGCTGTCCCGCCGCTGAAATATTGTTGGCATTGTGTGGTGAACTACTGGGACCAGGCAACCCCGAATTTGATCCAGTCGCCGAACTGGGCGGAGCACTGCTAAGCAATTGCGTTGACCCAGTTGACACGCCTTGATGAGTCGCAGGTGGATGGGCAAAATGCAATGTATCCAGACCATGAGATGCACTAATGCTAACAGGAGGTAGCGTAAGACCTTGAACAACGCCAGTACTGCCGGGTGGTGGTACGCCTCCTGCAGCGGCCAAGGCTCCTGATATGCGGTAATCCGAATGCACGGCTTGCAGTGTTGATATTCTAGTGTATGGACTATCGCGATACTGAGCTCCCGGACCAAGGCCATAGGGACTCTGCAGAATGAAGCGATTTGGGGCTTCGCGAACAGCATTGACATCGGTGTATTGGGCATAGGCATTGGCAGCAGCTTGCGAACCGGGTCCAGGCCGTGGCGGTGACAATGGACTAGCTGCCGAACGTGAGGATTTTTGTTGAAGCTGTTGTTGTTGCTGCTGCTGCTGCTGTTGTTGTTGTTGTTGCTGTTGCTGCTGTTGGTGATGATGATGCTGTTGTTGCTGGTGCTGTTGTTGCTGGTGCTGTTGATGCTGCTGGTGTTGTTGCTGTTGCTGATGCTGTTGTTGCTGATGATGTTGTTGCTGCTGATGCTGCTGCTGTCGCCGTTGCTGATCTTCCAACAATTGTTTCATACGTTCCTGCACATGCTTGTCGCGGTGTTGCATTTTCTGAGCATCTAACTCTTGCTGGTGTTGTTGCATACTTTTGTGATGTGGAGGCCCCAGGCCTCCACTGACGCCCTGGGTATACGATGATGCTGAGGCGTCGGCAATTGGCCTGTAAAATCAAAAGAAGAAGAATAATAGCCGATTATTAGATTTGTTTGTAAACAGAACTATGTTAAGCTGTTGAAAAGAAATACGCTACAACAGGGCCTCAATTCTTGTTCTATGAAAGAGTGAAATGAAAACTTTTATAAAGGAAATAAATGTCAAATGAAAAATTTTATAAAGGAAATATTTTTCATTTCATATTTTCATGGGACAAGAATCCAGCCCCAGGTTGCAATAGAACTATAATATGAAAATACCGGAATCTGTGGCACCAAATCATAGTCAGCTGGTATTTTCATGAGAAATATTAATTTCTGAGTACATAAATATGAACCCAAGATCCATATTAGATCGGATGGAAAACATTTTAAGATTGTTGTCAAAATACATTTTTGTTTTATTTGAAATACAAGGAAACTCAAATCACAACTTCTGATGTTGTCAAAAGTGTTGTCATGGTTCGACCTTATATGGCTCTCCGATGGACAATATTAATAAAATTTATTAACATTTAGAAAAAAAAAAATAATAACCAGACATAAACCATACCCAATCAGAAAACATGTTTTATGTTTGAATTTTGAATTTTAATAAAAATAATAATCAGTAAATATTGTACATATACAAGAGTATTTTCAACATCAAATTTCTTACATTTTTGTGATTTTGGTATTTCTTACAAAATCCACTCCCAATTCCCCTTTTAGGTATAAATTTTGCCTTACAACATTGGTTTGTAGAAACAAAAACGTCGTTTTTGTTAAATGTTAATATAATATTTTTTTAATTTTATTTTATATAAAAATAGATTTATATTTTTCAGTACATAAATAACTAATATAGACTAAAAATAAAAGATTTCTTATATACTTAATAACCCAGAAAAAACAAAGAAGTCCCAATTTTCGTTCTTTTCCAACCAAGAAGGTTATGTTGTAAAAGCAAACACTGTCACGAGCTTTCAGTTACACAAATAATATGTATAAATAATACAATATCATATAATTTGCAGGCATTTTTACAGCAGACAATAAATGCACTGATTTCGTAAGAAAAACAGCATTTATTGTGGCATTTGCAGTCGGGGACGTTTGGCGGCCACTGATGTCACTGCTCCGGTCTGTGGTTGATTAAGGTTCTTGGCTTGAGCCTCAGCCAGCATTGCAACGGTACGCCTCAGATCATTGATTTCCTCTTGCATTTTGTCATAAGTGGGCCTTTTATAAGAAGAACAATATCAAATAATTAATAAATATATATATTTCTGGGTGGTGGCGTTGTATATGTGTAACATGGCGCATTTGATGTTTACTTCGTGCCTATATTCACTCAGATTATGAACTTTTTGTATTGACGTTACTCTGGTTGTGGATAGTTCTACATCGTATGCACACACAGTTAGTAATTAACATCTCAGAATTATCCACCTTTAATTATGAATGAACGGATTCAAAACAAAATCAAAAGTCAATGTCACTATCGAATGCTTACTTCAATTTTAGTTGGGACTGAAAATATTTTTAAATATTTAATAATTGAAATACTATATAAATACTGGTTTGTCCTTCAAGTTCGGTTGGGTTCCAGGCCATTACAATGTTCCAGGTAAAGAGACAGTAAATGAATTGTCAAGACAGGCATACGAATCAACTGACATTGAAGTTGAGAACTCGGTTAGACCAACCCTGTGTGTCTTCTTTCGTGCGATACAATGCCTAGATGAACAGGGATGTAATGTCCCTAAGAAAATCTGACCTCCGAGAAAAGGACAAGATCGCCAATCTCAATGGCGAAACCTGACCTAAGACTTGTGGTGGATATCATCAAGGGTCACTGCCGCATTGGAGCCATGATATCTAAATGGAGTAGCGACGATACTAATTGCTGTAGGATCTGCAAAGATGAGCAAGAAATTGAAACAGTCGAGCATTCGCTCTGTCACTGTCCAACTCTCATCAATGTGAGACACAGGCTTGTGAGAGAGAGAACATAATAAACGATCTATCTTCATTTTCCAACACAGAACCAGCAGTTATTCTTAAGTTAGCCAGACAACTATATTATGACAAGCATTTGATAACTAAACTTAATTATCGTCGAGGTATCAATAAAAGTTCGTTAGAATACAGTGGGTAACCTGACAGCAAACCTTTGGCACTAATAGGCACGAGGTCACACAAACCCCCAGCGTTAGGGGATCCTCTTTATATGGGAGATTTGGATAATTCGCCACAGCAGGAGCTTTGAGAGTAAAGAAGCATTCATTTATTGATTCTCTTGCATCTCATTTTTTCGACATGAAAAAGTAAAATATATAGTAGTGCAAATGCAAATCGCCTGTCAAGGATGTGTGGTCTGCTCCAAAAGTAGAGGCTAAAATACTAATCACTCTGACCTTCTACTTCAATTTGGTCTTGCTAGGTATGTAAGCATAACCCCCTTCAAGGACTAACAGTCTTTGATTTTACGATTTAGAATAATACATCGGTCCCCACTTGACATTGACTTTTGATTCTAAAATTAAAGCCACTGCTGGCTGTATTCCTGTCATCTTACAACACATCAAGCGCATTCCTATACACACATACACAGCAGTATCAGTAATTTTATATGATAGTTTTATAGCATACTTAGCATACTCAGGAACATTTAAAGCAGAACTGGGACCACCAACAGGAACTGGTTTCGATTGTATATTCATTACGGCGGGTTTGGTTAATTGTTTGACACCAGCTGCGACAGAGCTTGCTGTGGGACTCTGTAAATTTGCTAACGGTATCGGCTGTATAAAGGGAGGTGTTGGATGTGTCATAGCGCCAGCAGCATTTGAAGCAGTTGTATTAAGAGGAACTGTAGTGCCCCCTGTTTCTGCACTAGCTACAGCTGTAATCTTCAAATTGGGATGCATACGTACTGGCAAATTTATGGAGGTATTTGGATGTATTTTTGCCGCTACCGGGGCAGGAGTGGTTGTCGAGGTAGCTTTAGCAGTGGTCATAGTTGGAATATGTGCAGTGTTGAGCGATGCTAAGGCTTGCTTATCTCCACCCATTGACCGGTTTAATTGGTTGGGAGGAGGCGGCTGTGCCGGTGGATTAACTGTAGACACCACAGTAGTTGAGGCTGCTGTTGCCGTTGATCCTTGACCATTCATAATTTTCCTTAACATTTGATCGGCACTGTCTTTCTGTGTGGTCAAAAGCTTCTGCATTGTTGCCGGCTCATTGTTGGTGATTTTCTTCAAATAGGATTCATCCGTGTCGACGACAACATAGTTAACAACATGGACATGTGAATTGGGGACAATGCGAAAAATCGGTTTGGTATTTGGATCTCCGTTTGGATTCTTAATGTCCATAAGTTTGGCCGACTGGCCCTCAACTTGAAAAACGGATGTGAAACCATTAACCAATATGGGTTTATCCATAACCTTGGGTTCCGAAATGAATTGTGTGGACTTTCGTTTCGGCACCATGGAAATTAGTTTATTCACATTACAGTCGGGATTTTCACAGCGTCTTTCAGACGTTTGCACCTGTGGGGTGGTGTTGATGCTGCCAGTTGTGCTAACGCCAACGCTTGGTATGGCAGTCTCTGTTGAGTCCATCATTACTCTAAAAGATATGGCAATTTAATTGATTTATAAAAGAATCTTCTTTTTATAAAAAATTCAAAATATTTACTCTGTTCTGCAACAAACACACACAAAAACAAGTGATTGTCAAACTATCGTTGTTTATGCCTTCCTCTTCTTCTTATTTTTAGTAATGGTGTGGTGTATTTGTTTCGGTAGTTTCCCCAGTGCAACACTGCGTGGTAAATGTTAGTTTGAAAAGCACTGCTTTAGCGAATCTTTGACGGTTTGCACAAAGATGTGGTTTGTGTAGCAAAAGACAAACAATATTGTCCCGATTTCAATTATTATTGCAAATATGACGACTATTTTTTATTCCATATCCCCAGCACTGCACCGTAGTTGTTTTCGGAAATTTCACTTCCTTTTAATGGTGCAACATCTTCGGCAAACAGCAGAAACCTCAGGCGATAGTAGAAGATTTTCTGTAGTTATTTTTCCTCAGATCTGCAGAGTACCAAGCAAAACTGACGATTTTATGGATTTCTGATGAATTGAACTCGTCGTATTATTTTTCTTGAGGAAAATAGCAATTTCTCTTGCGTTATGGAAGCTTTGCAACTGCTTGCGTCTTGTTTTCCTTATGAATGCCTCACGCACCAAAGAATAAATGCCAAAAAATGTGGTGAATTCTTGTTGACAATTGCCTGTCTGGGGTTGTAAAAAGAGACAACCATATGAGAAGTGTCATTCGCAAAAGAGAAAAGACAAAACCGTTTCATTAAATTTTCATGATGGCCGACTAGCCAGCAACACATTCTGGCAAACAGTTTGAAAGTAAACGGCAAAGCAAGAGTCGAAGGTATAGTCATCCTGCTCGATTTCGTGCAACAAATTTATAATGGCTGACTATTGAAACGGTTCAGACTTGTGGACGCAACCACAACGTGTTGTGTGTTTTGTTTTCATAGTGGTGAGTTCTTTTGTATGAGGGAGGTGGGTTGCAATCAGACCGGGTTCGTTAACGTTTGATGCAAGCATGTTGCTGTTGCAATAACTTGTTCGATCAATGTTGTTTGAGGACACAAATGTTTTTTTTCTGGTTGTTTGTGGTTCTTGTTTGATGTTGGAGCATTTTAAAGCAGGTTTTCTTTACATTGTTGTTGCTGCTGTTTGTGGTAATGGTAATTTGCAGAATTTTTATTAAATTTTCTGTACGACTTTTTTGTGGATACTTTTGTTTTTTTTTCTACCGAACAACTTTTAAAGGAAAATACTTTGCAACGCCTCAAATAGGGATTTTTATTTAAAAAAAAACAATGTTTTATGCTATACTTTCTATTATTCCATTATTAATATTTAGTATTTTTTAATCATTTTTGCATTTGAATTGAAAAAAAGATCAACAAAAACATTGGACAATTTAGACA